GGAATAATGTGGAAGAGCATAACTTTTTCTCCCTTGTTTTCTAGGGTAGGGAGAGCAGAGACCCTACAAATCCAGGCAAAAGGGAATTCACCTGGGGGAGGGGGCAAATCTGTATGTTTTTCACTGCCCTGGTGTGGGTTATAAGATTGCAAAGATCTTTATAGGGCCTGAAGGTTGTGGGACGCACAATAGTGCGGTGTCTGGAAGCAGCTCGGCACTAATGGAGGAAACAAAAACACACCCTTGGAGGGGAAAAACTAAAAGGATAAAGGAAAGGGAAACTATGAATTCTTGTGGGTTAAGTGGGAAAGGTTTGTGCAAGCACATGGGAAAGCGAGCCCCGGGGGCAGAAATTTCTGAAGGTTATGGGGAGAAAGGGGAGAGTGAAGGAAGTAGGGGAAGGGAGGGAACTTTGGAGAGGGATTTTGCAGGTTTTGAGTGCAGGGAAAAAGGGGTAAGGGCAAGATGTTTGAAGGGGGGGGGGGAAACACCCCAAACATCCAGCTTCTCCAATGTACTTGGAGAAGCAGCAATGGTTTCTGATTAAGACGAAAGTGAGAAACTCAGAGGAAAGGGCTTTCTGTTTGTGGAATTATGAGAGCCAGGCAAGGACAGAGGCAACAAAAGGAAGTGAGGAAGCCAGACAAAGGGGAGAAGAGCCCGGAACAGAGAAGGTGTGAGAGGCAGAGGGGAACAAAGCCGGACAAGGTGGCAAGAAGAACATAGGTAGGAAGGCCAAGGCAAGTCTTGGTGTTCAACTGTCTGTTTAGATTCACAAAGGGAACCCCAACTCACATAACAGTGGCCTTCAGCAAGCAGACTCTTGCAGAAACTACCCTCTTAAGCAAAAATAGTGGAATGATGACACTTTAAGTGTCCCACATTACTTTGTATCCAAGAGTAAAAACACCTATGGTTTGGTAATGCCACCCAATCAACTCCAAAGCCCGACTCCAAAAAGTGGGAGACGCTCTGATGAAAGCACAAGTGCAATATAAACATGAAGGCAGGCCAAGTCAGGGGACAACATTGTGCCAAGGGACAGAAGGAAAACGAATGGGAGAACAATTGAATGAAGGGAATCAAATGAAGGGAATCAACTGTCGGCCCTTGTATCCGTGAATTTTGCATCCATGGCTTCAACCATGTACAACTTGGAAATATTAAAACAGAAACTTTTCAAAACAAACCAATTTACAGTGCTATAATATATAATCTGGCTTCAGCATCCATGGATTTTGGTATCCACAGGGGATCCTGGCTTCAAACCTCAGCAGACACCAATGACATTTGGTAGTCAAAAGGGAACACATTGGGAGGAAAGGTGGAGGGGAACAAAAATGTAGCCAAATGGGAGAATTCAGTGGAAGAACCATGGGAACCAAATGGAAGAAAGTCAATGGGGGAGGGGGTAGTTGGCTTGGGCTTCAGCTGTGCTCCAGTCTTCTAACCTCAGGACTTTATCACTGCAACCTGCAAAGGAAGAAGCTATGCCTGTGCCTCTGAGCACACTGAGATCATTTCCCTCCCTTTAGAAGCAGCCTCTCTCTTTGCTATCCATCAAGGGCACCAAGGAACCAGAGGTCACTTGGGGTTGCAGCCACATCAGCTCACAAGACAATATAGTGACATGATATATATCTGAACATGAGGAAAAACTTCCTGACTGTGAGAGCCGTTCAGCAGTGGAACTCTCTGCCCCGGAGTGTGGTGGAGGGTCCTTCTTTGGAAGCTTTTAAACAGAGGATGGAAGGCCATCTGTCAGGGGTGATTTGAATGCAATGTTCCTGCTTCTTGGCAGGGGTTTGGATTGGATGGCCCATGAGGTCTCTTCCAACTCTTTGATTCTATGATTCTATGATAGGAAGGTCTCCTTAAGTGAAAACTTGCTTTCTGGATACAGTGGGCCTCTTGGCATCTGTGGGAGTTTGGTTCCAGGACTGCCCATGCATACTAAAACCTTTGGGTGCTCAAGTCCCAAGGGCATAGTAAAACGGGGCAAACAAGGTTTTTTGTTTTTTTGGAGAATTATGTATAAGTCATGAGTGCTGGAACCTGCAGATACAAACATACAGTCTCGTTCTCTCACACCTTTTGAGGTGGGCCTTTAAAGTTGTTGAGAGAGAAGGCCATGGATGCAGAAGGAGGACTGAACCCCAAAACAGACCACCTCTGCTTACTTGCAGTCAAGAGTTGGGGTGGACTAAAACACTGAAATACTTCCTGTCCCTGTCACTCACACCTTTTCAAGTTTATTTTGGGGGGATATTTGCAAGCCATGGATGGTGGAAACCATGGGTGCAGAGGGTGGGCTGACCCCCAAACAGCCCCCCTCTGCTTACTTGCAGTCCAAAGCCAGAGTGGGCTCAAGTCCTCTGTCCAGCTGCCCCTCATACATAATGGAAAAACATAGTTTGCTTTTGGGCATTGATGTTTTCAAGCCTTTCTCTCACACTTTTTATTGCAGGGCTTTGGGGAATATCTCAAAACCATGGATCCAGATGGCAGGCTGTACCCCTCTGAGGGTGGAATGTACCCCCCCCCCCAATGGACTGCCCCTGCTTACTTGCTTTTTGGAGACGATGTTTTGGAGATATTTTCAAGCGTTGCTCACTTTTGGGAGTAGATTGGTGGGGACATTCCCAAAGTATGGGTGCTTTGACCTTCGATACAGAGGGCCGACTGTATCCACCAAATGGAATGCCTCTGCTTACTTATAGTCATAAGCCTCCTCCCACAGTTCCCAACTTCTCTCATACCTTGTGGAGTAGAGTTTTGGAGCTAAGTTTTTTTTAGAGGGGGGATATCTCCAAGTTTTGGACACAAAGGGTGAAGTGTACCCAAAATAGATGCCCTTAATTTCCTTACAGTCAAAAGAGGGCTTTGGATTTGATGTTTGGGGGAGAATATTTCCAAGCCATTTGATGCCAGACCCCATGGGTGCAGGGGGCAAACTGTTGTCTTAAACAGACTATCTGCTGTGGGGAGGTTACCTATATTTTCAAGCCTGTCTCTCACTTTTTGGAGCTGATTTGAGTTGGTGGCGGGGAGATACTTTCCAAGCCATGGATGTTGGGATGCAAAGGACCCCTCCTCCTCTTTTGGGGTTGATCTATTTTCAAGTGTTTCTCTCTCACTTTTTGGGGCAGGGCTTTGGAGTTGGATTTTGGAGGGATATTTTCAAGACATGGATGCAGAGGGTGGGTTGTAACCCCAACGATACCCCCTCTCTCTGCTTTCTTGCTTTGTGGAGCTGATATTTTTGAAATGTTTTTAAGCCTTTGGAGCTGGTTTTGGGGAGAAATATTTCCAAGCCATGGATGTCGGAACCTGCAGGTGAAGAGGGCCCCAAAAGAGACTCCTTCTGCTTTTTTTGGGAGGGGGGGTGATCTTTTTGTGAATATTTCCAAACATTTCTCTCACACACTTTTAGGAGGGCTCTGGAGTTAACTGGAGGGAGGGAGATGTGTAGTATTTCCAAGCCATTGATGTCAGGGTGCAGAGGACCCCAAAGAGATCCCCTCTACTTCCTTGCTTTTTGGAGCTGATGCTTTTGAAATCTTTGAAGCTGATTTTTGGAAGTGATATTTTCAAGCCTATCTCTCTCCCTTTTGGGAGCAGGCTTTGGAGTTGTTGGGGAGGAAAGTATTCCCAAGACATGGATGCAGAGGACCTCCACAGAGACCACTTCTGCTTTTTTGGAGCTCATCTATTTCCAAGCCTTTCTCTCTCAGATTTTGGAGTTGATTGGGGGATGGGGTAGTATTTTCAAGCCATGGATGCTGGCATGCAGAGGATCCCCAAATACACCCCTTCTGCCTTGGGAAGGTGATCTTTCCCTGAATATTTCCAAGCCTTTCTCTCTCACACTTTTAAGATCAGAGCTCTGGAGTTAACTGGGGGGGGGGGGGGGAGTAGTATTTCCAAGCCATGGATGTCAGGATGCAGAGGACCCCAAAGAGATCTCCTTTGCTAACTTGCATTTTGGAGCTGATGTTTTTGAAATGTTTTCAAGCCTTTGGAGCTGATTTTGAGGAGGAATGTTTCCAAGCTATGGATGGTGGAACCTGTTAGTGCAGAGGACCCCCAAGAGACCCCTCCTGCTTTGGGAAGGTGATCTTCCTGTGAATATTTCCAAGCCTTCCTTTCTCATACTTTTGGAAATGGGGCATTGACACTGACCGGGGGTGTGTGTAGTATTGTTTTTGGAACTGATCTATTTTCAAGACTCTCTCTTTTGGAAACAGGACTTTGGAATTGAGGGGGTGGGGATATTCCCAAACCATGGATGTCAGGATGCAGAGGACCTCTAAAGAGACCCTTTCTGCTTATCTGGAGCAGATCTGTTTCCAAGTCTTCCTCTCTCACTTTTTGGGGCTGATTTGGGGGAGGGAGTATTCCCAAGCCATGGATGCTGGGATGCAGAGGAACCCAAAAGTGACCCCTCTGCTTTTGGGAGCTGATGTGGGGAAGGAAGTTTTCGCAAGCTTGGGAGGTTGGGAAGCAGAGGACCCCAAAGAGTCTCCTTCTGGGTTGGGGGGGGTGGGGGGTAGGTCTGTTTCAAAGCCATTCTCTCACACTTTTTGGAGCTGATGTGGGGAAAGGAGTATTCCCAAGCCATAGAAGTCGGGATGCAGAGGGCCTCCAAAGAGCCTCCTTGTGTTTTTGTTTTGTTTTGGATCTGTTTCGAAGCCATCCTCTCTCACTTTTTGGTGCTGATGTGGGGAAGGGAGTATTCCCAAGCCATGGCTGTCTGGATGCAGAGGACCTCCAAAGAGCCTCCTTCTGCTTTTTTGGAGTGGGTCTGTTTCGAAGCCATTCTCTCTGTTTTTGGAGCTGATTTGGGGAAGGGAATATTCCCAAGTTATGGATGTCGGGCTGCAGAGGACCCCCAAAGTGGTCCCTTCTGCTTTTTTGGAGCAGCTCTACACCCAAGCCTTTTGGGAGCCGGGCTTTGGAGTGGAGGGGCAGGGGAGTATTCTGCAAGGGTATTCTCTCACCTCTTGGCGAGTCCTTCGGCGGCGGCGGAGGAGGAGGCGGCGGGTCCGTTGGCGGCGGGGTTGCGGTCCCTCTGGCGCCGGTTCTTGAACCAGTTGCTGACCTGGGTGAGGGAGAGCCCGGTGGCCTTGGCCAGGTGCCTCTTCTCGGCGGGCGAGGGGTAGCGGTTCTGCCGGTAGAGCTCCTTGAGGGCGGCGCGGGAGCGCTCCTTGAAGCAGTAGACGGTCTCCTCTCCGTCCCAGATGGTGCGCGGGAGCGGGAACTTCCTCCGGAGCCGGTACTTGTCGACGGCGCCCAAGGGCCGTCCCCGGAGGCGCTCGGCCTCTCGGTAGCGCGCCTTGTACCACAGCTCCTGGAGCAGCGCGTGGCTCCCGGCCCCGAAGCTGTGTCCCTCCAGCAGCGCGTACAGCTCGGCGAAGAGGCCGCGGTGGAAGGCCACCAGGGCGCGCGCCCGGAGCAGGCTCTCGTGCCCGCGCAGCAGCTCCCGCTCCGGCAGAGACCACAGGAAGCGCGCCAGCCGGTCCAGCTGCCCGCCCTGCTGCAGCGCCTCGCACACGCACGCCACGTGCTCCGGGGACAGAGACAGCACCGCCCGAGGGGACGACGTCGAGGAAGAAGAGGAGGAGGACGAAGAGGAGGAAGAGGGGAGCAGCGCCGGAGGAGAGGAGGAAGGCTCCCGCTCCAGCAGCATCAGCGCCGCCGCTTCACCCGCACTTTCCTCTTCCTCCTCCTCTTCCTCCTCCTCTTTCCTCGCAAAGGGAAGGAGGAGAGCCGGAGGTGCGGACGCCCCGCTCTCGTCCCGCCTCGCCTTCCCCGACAGCAGCTCTTCCAGCGCGCTGTCCCCTTCCGGAGAAGCAGAAGACATGGCCCGGCCCGGCTCTCGCGGGTGGGGTGGCCACCCTGCTCGGGAAGATCACATTCAACAACAACAACACGCACTCACACTCAACACACACACACAACCCGCCTCACCTTCACACACTCACACACACACTCACAATCCGTCTCACCTTCTCCTCCTCCTGGGAGGTGGGATTTCCACCCCTCCCCTTCCCCTTCCCCCTTTGCACGCACAAAACACCCACTCGAGTGGCTTTCCCTACCACCTTCTCCCCCTCCTTCTTCTCCTCCTCGAAGGTGGGATTCCCCCCTTTCCCCTTCCCACCTTTTCCGCCTTAGAAGTTCACTCACCCACGCGCAAAACACCCACTCGAGTGGCTTTCCCTACCACCTTCTCCCCCCTCCTCCTTCTTCTCCTCGAAGGTGGGATTTCCCCCCCCCCTTTCCCCTTCTTAGAAGTTCACTCACTCACGCGCAAAACACCCACTCGAGTGACTTTCCCCACCACCTTCTCCTCCTCCTCGATGGTGGGGTCCCCCCACTTTTCCCTACTTAGAAGTTCACTCACCCACGCGCAATACACCCACTCGAGTGACTTTCCTCACCACCTTCCCCTCCTCTTCCTCGAAGGTGGGTTCCTCCCCCTTTCCCCCTTCGCACTTTCCCCTCCTTAGAACTTCACTCACTCACGCACAAAACACCCACTCGAGTGACTTTCCCCACCACCTTCTCCTCCTCCTCCTTACTTCTCCTTCTCCTCGAAGGTGCGATTCCCCCCCCCCTTTTTTTTCTCCCTCTCCCCTTCGCACTTTTTCCTCCTTAGAAGTTCACTCACTCACGGGCAAAACACCCACTCGCGCGACCTTCCCCACCTCCTTCTTCTCCGCTCAGGTTTCCTCCTTGTTTTGGGGTGGGATTCCCACCCACCCCCTCTTCCTCCTCCCTTTCCTTCTCCTTCTTCTTCCTCACTCCCCCCCCCCTCTTTGGAAAGTTCGTACACTCACAAAACACACACTCACACCTCCTTTTCTTCCTCCGCGATCAGGTTTCCTCTCCGCCACGCAGTCACCATTCAGGCAGCTTGCAAGCCAGTCGCGAAAAGCGGGGGGAATGGCTGTTTCCCCTCCTCCTCCTCCTCCTCCTCCTCTTCTTCCTCTCCCCCCAAACTCTCCCTCTCTTCTCTCTCTCCTGGCCCCCCCGATCCTCCTCCCCAACGTGACTCTCCCCAAGCCGCCTCTCGCCTGCTACATAGTCTTAATGGCACAAGTAGACGGCTGGAGCCAGCCGAGGGGAGGGGAGGAGAAGGGGGGGGCTCGCGGATTGGACGGCCCGGGCACCCAGGGGGCGGGGACACCCGGGGTTGCCTTGGCAACCGTCAATCAACGCCTCCTCCTTCTCCTCTCCCTCTCCTCCCCCGCCTCCACGCGACTTCCTCCTTCTTCCTCCCTGGGAAACACCTCCACCTGAATCAGAGAAATGCAAAAGCTCTCCTAAAACTGTCATCTAGGGAAAGATGGGCTACCAACGTGTTTTTATAATCTCTCTCCATGTCAGAGGTGCTCTTTGCAGGCTAGATTCCCTTTGAGTTGCTGTAAGTTTCCCTGGCTGTATTGGCTATGTTCCAGAAGCATTCTCTCCTGACGTTTCGCCCACATCTATGGCAGGCATCCTCAGAGGTTGTGGGGTCTGTTGGAAACTAGGAAAATGGGGTTTATATATCTGTGGAATGTCCGGGAGGGGGATCCCTGGCTGTATGGCTATGTTCCAGAAGCATTCTCTCCTGACGTTTCGCCCACATCTATGGCAGGCATCCTCAGAGGTTGTGGGGTCTGTTGGAAACTAGGAAAATGGGGTTTATATATCTGTGGAATGTCCAGAGTGGGAAAGAACTCTTAAGAGTTCTGTTGCAATTGGCCACCGTGATTAGCATTTAATTGCCTTGCAGCTTCAAAGACTGGCTGCTTCCTGCGTGGGGAGCAGCCCCCCATAGAATCATAGAATCAAAGAGTTGGAAGAGACCTCATGGGCCATCCAGTCCAAGCCCCTGCCAAGAAGCAGGAATATTGCATTCAAATCCCCCCTGACAGATGGCCATCCAGCCTCTGTTTAAAAGCTTCCAACTCCCTCGTTGTTTTCTGTCTGGAATTCCCCTGTTTTCCGAGTGTCGCTCCTTATTTACTGTCCTGATTTAGAATAATGGAATCATAGAGTTGGAAGACCTCGAGGGACATCAAGTCCAACCCCCTGCCAAGAAGCAGGAAAATTGCATTCAAAGCACCCCCAACAGATGGCCATCCAGCCTCTGTATTGTCGAAGGCTTTCATGGCCAGAATCACTGGGTTGTTGTAGTTTTTTCGGGCTATATGCCTATATCACCTAGCCAGTGGTTCTCAACCTGGGTCCCCAGATGTTTTTGGCCTACACTCCCAGAAATCCCAGCCAGAATGCTTCAGGAACATGCCCAGGCAGCCCAAAACACTCTCAGAAACCCGAAGAATGTAATAATAATTGGCCATGTTCCGGAAGCAATCTCTCCAGATGTTTTGCTTGCATCTATGGCAAGCATCCTCAGAGGTTGTGAGGTCGCCCATAGATGCAGGCGAAACGTCAGGAGGGAATTCTTCTGGAAACATGGCCATACAGCCCGGGAAAACTCACAGCAACCCCATGATTCCAGCCTTTGACAACACAGTTTTGTTGTTGACAAGCTATTTCAGCAAAAGAGACACTATTAAATCCTTATTGAGTGTGCCTTCTTGTCTCTCAGGGCTATATATATGCAGTCTGACGCTTTATCTGCCATGGCTCAGCCCTACAGAATCATGGGAGTTGTAGTTTCATGTGCAAAGAGTGCTGGTGCCTCACCAAAACACAAATCACATGATTCCTTTGACTACTTCCTTTGGTTAAGGTTGCCATCTTAGAGAACCTATATTCTGAGTAGATATCAGCAATATTTGGCCGGAATCACTGAGTTGCTTTAAGTCTTTCGGGCTGTATGGCCATGTTCCAGAAGCATTCTCTCCTGACGTTTCGCCTGCATCTATGGCAGGCATCCTGGGAGGTTGTGAGGTCAGATAGCAACCCATTGGACTGTCTTTTTTGCCACGATGCTAGGCAAACGTGTGTTCCAGACTTAAGTTGCAGGGAAGTCGGGCTCCTTGGGATTTATTTTCGAGAACATAAAGCCATATGTTCGGGCTGCTACTTAACATGCATCGATATGTACACAGAGAGACAGATTCTGTTCCGATGTGGTTGTGAATAGGCATCCGCTTCAAAGGAAGCAACAGAGAAGAGGACAAGAGGGAGGAGAGGCAGACAGGCAGAGCATCAATTATTGACTTTGCCTAGATCAAAGATGCCCAAGGCTCCCTGTGAATCCGAATCGGATGCAACAGGATTATGAGCAAGATAGACTTTATATTCCTGTCTGAATGTTGACAATCCGGCCTCACAGAATCCTAGAGTTGGAAGAGACCTCGTGGGCCATCCAGTCTAACTCCATTCTGCCAAGAAGCAGGAAAATCGCATTCAAAGCACCCCCGACAGATGGCCATCCAGCCTCCTCTCCAAAGAAGGAGCCTCCACCACACTCCAGGACAGAGAGTTCCACTGCTGAACAGCTCTCATAGAATAGAATCATAGAATCTTAGAATCAAAGAGTTGGAAGAGACCTCATGGGCCATCCAGTCCAACCCCCTGCCAAGAAGCAGGAATATTGCATTCAAATCACCCCTGACAGATGGCCATCCAGCATCTGTTTCAAAGCCTCCAAAGAAGTAGCCTCCACCATACTCCGGAGCAGAGAGTTCCACTGCTGAACAGCTCTCATAGAATGGAATCATAGAATCCTAGAGTTGGAAGGGACCTCGTGGGCCATCCAGTCCAACCTCATTCTGCCAAGATGCAGGAAAATGGCATTCAAAGCACACACACACACACACCCTGACAGATGGCCATCCAGCCTCTGTTTAAAAGCCTCCAAAGAAGGAGCCTCCACCACACTCCAGGGCAGGGAGTTCCACTGGGTTGTTGTAGATTTTTTCGGGCTATATGGCCATGTTCTAGAGGCATTCTCTCCTGACGTTTCGCCTGCATCTATGGCAAGCATCCTCAGAGGTAGTGAGGTCTGTTGGAATTAGGAAAAAGGGTCTGTGGAATGACCAGGGTAGGACAAAGGACTCTTGTCTGTTGGAGCTAGGCGTGTGGAGAGTTCCACTGCTGAACAACTCTCACATCTGAGGAGAGTTTATTTCTTCTCCGGCTCTAAATATTCCACCATACTCCAGGGCAGAGAGTTCCACTGCTGAACAACTCTCACAGTCAGGAAGTTCTTCCTCATGTCCAGGTGGAATCTCCTTTCCTGGAGTTTTCCTGTACTCTTAATAGATCTGGGACTAAAATGCCCATTTTGCAGTTTGGGGTTGAGGCTAATATGACTGGCATTTGAGGATAATTTATGTATTCTCCAGCTCTAAATAAGATCTAATCTTGGAGTTTTCAATCATGGTGACTTTTCAGATCAACATTGCTTAGGAAGGAGAAGTGCAATCCTATCCATTACTGGGCTATTCAAGTCTCATTGAACTAAACCAGTGGTTCCCAAACTTTGGTCCTCCAGATGTTTTGGACTTCAGCTCCCACAATCCCTAGCAGCTAGGATTTCTGGGAGTTGCAGTCCAAAACATCTAGAGGATCAAAGGTTGGGAACCATAGAAGTAAACAGTGCTAAATCTCAGAGTGCAACCTTATATAGTGCATAAAAGTAAAGGTTTCTCCTGAAATTAAGTCAAGTCATTTTTAGTCTAGACATTAAGTCTAGTCTAGGCTTCCTTTTTTTTTTTGGGAATAGATATGCACTGAATAGATATACAGTGCAGATCTGTTCCAAAAAAGGGATGCCTTATTCAGTTACAATGGGATTTACTCCTTTAACGTGCAAAGGGATGCAGCTGGGAGGACGTCCCACTGAAATCTACCCCACACTGCAGAAATAATGTAGTTTGACACCACTTAGGGCCCTTCCACGCAGCCCTATATCCCAGAATATCAAGGCAGAAAACCCTACATTATCTGAGTGTGGATGCAGATAACCCAGTTCAAAGCAGATATTTTGGGATTTTCTGCCTTGATATTCTGGGATTTAGGGC